ATTCTATTTCACCTAGTCCTATATTCTAATGGTAATCCGTAACCTACAGCTTCCATGTAAGACCTAAAGCCTAAGCTCTGATACCAACTTGTAACACCCCCTCCACATGGCATAATATTGTCCGCTTTGGGCCCACTAGCCCTCATGACTTTGTTTCTCCCAGTATTCTTGGAAAAATGTCTTATGCCATGTAAGACAAGGGGCTTACTAATAAGCCCAGTCACTTTTCCCTCCCTAATCGATGTGGGACACCAAGATCTCACAGCCTAACCCCAAATGTGAAGCGTCACTGTAAACTACAAAATTCTCGCTTTCTGTTGGAATGGTTAATGCAAGTGCAGAAACCAACCTTATTTTCAACTCTTGGAAACTTTGTTCACACTTATCATCCCATTGAAATTTAACATCCCTTCTAGTGAGGCAGATCAACGGCATCACAATTGAGGAAAATCCTTGAATAAATCTATGGTAGTAACCCGCCAATGCCAAGAAACTTTTTACTTCCATTACATTCCTTAGTTTCTCCCATTTTACCATGGCCTCAGTTTTCTTTTGGATCCACTTGAATACCATCTTTTGACATCACATGTCCAAGAAATATCACGCTGTCCATCCAAAATTCACATTTGCTGAATTTGGCGTACAATTATTTTTTTCTTATAGTTTGTAAAACAATTCGCAAATGTTGCTCATGTTCTACTTCATTATGAGAATACATCAAAATATCATCTATAAATACAATTACAAATGAATCCAAGTAGGGTTGAAACACTCTATGCATCAAACCCATAAAAGCGGCCATAGCATTTGTTAACCCAAATGGCATAACTAGGAATTCATAGTGCCCGTTCCTAGTTAAAAATGCCGTCTTTGGTGCATCAGTTATTTTTACCCTTAACTGGTGATATCCCGATCTTAAATCAATTTTGGAATAGACTTTTGCTACCTGCAATTGATCAAACAAATCATCTATTCTTGGCAATGGGTATTTATTGTGAACAGTTACCTTATTAAGTTGTTGATAATCAATACATAGTTGTATAGTGTCATCCTTCTTTTTCACAAATAGCACTGGTGCTCCCCATGGTGAAGTACTCGGTTGAATAAAACCCCAATTCAATAAATCTTGTAATTGTTCCTTCAACTCTTTCAACTCAGCTGGTGCCATTTGATATGGGGCAATTGATATGGGTGCAATTTCAGGTAGTAATTCTATAACAAATTCTACTTCCCGATCAGGTAGCAACTCAGGTAATTCATTCGAAAAAACATCAAGGAAGTTCTTCACTACTGGTACCTTTTTTGGTTCAACTTTATCCTCACCCACACTTCTCACATATTCCAAATAACCTTAGCATCCCTTCTTAAGCAACCTTCGAGCTTTGATTGCTGATATAAGACAATTTGGAGTTACTTTCCATTCACCTTGGAATTTAAATTCGGTGTCATCAGGTGGTTGAAAAGTAACCTCCTTTTTATAGCAATCAACCAAGGTATGATAGACTGATAACCAATCCATCCCCAAAATCACATCAAAGTCACACATATCGAGTGGAAGTAAATCCACTAATAGTTCCCATTTGTCAATTCGAATTATGCAAGCATTATAAACAGTGTTAACTATCACTACCTCATCCATTGGGTTTGCTATGGATAAATGATAATTCAGAGGTGTGGCAGGGTGTTTCCAATGCTTACTATAGGTGTGTGCAACAAAAGAGTGTGTGGATCCGGGATCAATTAAAATTCAAGAATTTTCACTAATACAAAAATTGTACCTGTAACCACATTGGGCGATCCATAGGCATCCTGCTGTGTCATAGCGAAACCCATCCCTAAGTCCCGGTAGTACCAACAAATCCCTTACCTGCACCTTGTATCCCTACTGATGTTGATGCATCTCTTCTCCCTAGATTTACACTGCCCACTGAAGGTGACATGACAGATTTGGTTGAACATTCATGTGCAACGTGCCCTACCTTCCCACACTTATAACATCATCAAGCTCCACTAGCTGATCCTATTTGACAATTCTGAGCGATATGCCTTTCCACTCCACATTTAAAACAAGTAACATTAGCATCTCGTCCACTCGATTGTCCCCTGGCCTAGAATCCTATTGGGGGTTTAAAGGAAGTATAACCCCGTGAACCAATAGATTTACGAGAATTTCCAACACCTCCTATTTGTCAAAACTTCGATCCTTGCCCCTTCTGCCTCGAAGTCTAACCCCCAGATAGAGATCCATACCAAGAACAATGTCAAACTTCCTCCTCTTGAATTGCTCTCATTGCCCCTTTGATTCTTTTACATCTTTCTCAACAACCAAAGCTTTATTAACCAAGGTCACATAACTTGTTAACTCAAAGGCCGAAAGTCAACCCCATATTGGGTAAGCTAATCCCCACTGAAACTTTTTGTATAGAGCCTCATCAGTTTGAACAAAAACCTTTGCGAAACTTGACAATGTAGTGAATTGCTTTTTTAGACTCTACCACCTACATCCTGCCTTGAGTTAGATTAATAAATGCTATCTCCTGCTCATACTGATAAGACTCAGGAAAATACTTGTCATTGAACACTTTCACAAATTGATTCCAAGTAATATGCAGTGGTGTTGGAGCCACATTACCAACTACTTGACCTTCAACTCCTACAACTGGTGCAACCAACAGTCGCCTGATAGCCTCACACCAAAATCATGCTTCCTCCTTAAGTATAAAGTTTACAAGTGTCACTTGTTGATCATCATAGAGTTGCATTAACTTCAAAAATTGATTCCATCCATTTAAGTCAGTCCTTCGCCTCTAATGGATTAATTGTCCCTGCAAACATTGAAGGATCCAGTTTCATTAACCTTTCATGAACCGTACCTCGTGATTCCCCAAGAGGGACATGTGGTCTTGCCCTAGTGGCTGCCTGAATCTCTGTTTGTAATTCCACAATCCGATTTGTTAATGGCGCCACCTGCACCATCACTTCCAACAGCCTCTAAATCATACTAGGTTGATTATGTTCACCTTCCTCGCCTATCTGTTGTTGTCCCTTCCCTGCCTCAGCCACAATAGGAGCATGCGAACCTTTAGCTTCTCCTTGATTTTGACCCTCGGGAGGATCCATTATGCTTTCAACAATTTAGCTGTAATGCACAACGTACACAAATACACATGTACTTATCATTAGCACATTAACCCATCTCTACTCACTTACTTAAACAACTTAACCAGTCCACTGCCGACCTAAACATTCATGTCTATAGAACCTATAAACTTAGGCTCTGATACCAAAAATTGTAGCACCCCAATCCCACTACACTATTATTATAAAAATAAAATTTAGGCAATCCCGCTATTAATAAAACATTATAACACAACAGTTAAAACAAACTTATCCTAGAAATATTTATCTTAGGATCACTTTTTTATGATAAAGTCATACGTGCGCGGCACACGGGCCCGCTACCATGTAGGATATACATATCCCAAAAATATTTACAAGTGTTGCTCACATGCCAAAACAAAAATATTGACATCATGTATAACTCAAAAAAAAAAAAAAAAAAAACATAAGACATAAGAAACTGACACAAGCCCTCCCGACACTCCTGACTAGACTTCTAGTTACGGCAATGGACTGCAAGCTTGTGTACAGTTTACCTGAAAAGATTTCAAGCAAAGTTAACATTAATGAGGAGGAGAAAGAAGAAGAGAAGCCTAGGAATGCAAGCTAGGCTTGTGCTAGCCTACCCTATGCCTTCCAATTAGCCTCTTATGGATGGGAGGGCTGTCTCACACCTAGGGGGACCTCCATGGACAAATTGGGGAACTTCATTGACAAGAATTCAGATTACATTGCATTGTAGAGAGAGACACTCCAAGGAAGAAGATGATGTTCTAGAGAGAAAAATTTATATTTTTGCATTTTCTTCCATCCATTCACTTGTAGTTTCTTGTAAGACATGTGTAAGCTTCATGTAATGTCTTTAATGTCATTTATTACAAGTGCATTTCAAGTTTAGTTCTACATTTTGGATTTCACCATTGTTGCAGGAAGTTTTCTTCATTTCAAGTTTTAAAATGGGTATTGAATGTTTTTATTCTTAGTCTAAGTTTTGTTGCATTAAAATAAGTTCCAATCTTCATTTCTTTACAATGTCTCTTCATTACATTTATGTTCCTACTTTAAATATGAGTAACTAAGATTTTAGTTGGCTAATCCAAGGGAGAATCCCTCTTGGGTATGCTAAACCAACTCTTTGTCATTCCTTCTCGCAGTGTGTGCTGATTTGGTTTGACTAGATTGAGTGTAGACATGGTTGTGAGTTCTTGATACACCATAGACTTGTCACGGTGTATGCTTGAATCCTCACCTCCATTTTAGTCCCGCATTTCCTATGAATCAATCAAACATCTAGACACCATTGAAGGAAGGTCTTGAGTCGATTTGGCACTCCCATTGGAATGACCTCTTCGAATTACCTAACACTTGTTTCCATTTCATTTTCATCAGGAACACAAATCACCAAACTCAAACATCAAAGTTTTTTACACTTTTCATTTTTCACCAAAATCACCTTCAAAACAATTCACCTCCTTCCCTGAGGAAACGACCTTGGAATACGATTTTCAAGTAAAACACGACACTTGAAAGTCTCTCTGCGCTTGAGGAGCATTTTTGTTCACACACACACATATTTCATTCCACACACGGTTGCCCCAATTCTCGCATCGAACCCAAGTGAGAGTGACATTCACCCACACACATAAGTCATATATACATTGAGGGTTCTTGTTTGGAGATTAGAGCATACGATGGAAAACATCAAGCGGGCTCCCTTGAGGGATGGCTCCTGCATTTTTTTATTTCTAGGGATTCTTAGGAGTCTGCTAAGGCACGGTTTGAATGTTCTCGGGTTCTTTGCTCATAGGGGCATCTTATAGATAGAGGTAAAGGAGTAGTTGCTCTACTCTCCATCTTTCCTCTTTTTCTGAAGTGATCTTTTATTTGGTTACTTTCATTTCGAGCCTTAACAGTCTTTGTGTTATGTAGATGGCCCCAGTCTGACTCCGAACAAGATCATCAGGGTCTATTGGCTTACTCGTGCTGAAGCAGCCCTCTTCTCCACTCTTGTTACATCTTAGAACCTTTTTCAGTTCGGGATTGGCCCCAATTTGACTGTCATTGTCGTTGTTGCAACTTCTCCAAGGGGAAACAGGAAACATCGATGAGGCAACCCCATCCCCATTGTCATCAGATTCTTCCTTTGGCAAGATGAGGTTTATGGCTACTGAGTTAGAGTTTGTATTAAGGAAAGCAAGGCTAAAAAAATAGTTCTCTAAAGCTGAGAAATAGTGGGACGAGCTAAACACCAAGAATGCTCGTCTATGGGTTACGAATGCGCAGCTGGAGAATGAAGTATCTAAGCTGAAGAAAAGATTTGGAGGGGCCCAAACTAGTATTTTACTTATTGTAAATTTGTTGCTCTTCTGAATGTAATTTGGCTCTTTGTTTTAATGCCTTGTTCATTCTTTTGTCTATTGTCAACTTTAACTGAATAGCTGCTAGGCCTTAAGCTCTGCTTGACTTAGTCCTTTAAATGGTTGAAATCCATTGGATTCTTAATGACCGAGCTGAAAATCTCTTAGGCTGAAAAGCCTAGTTGAAGTCGCACGATTTAGAAGGTTGCGGCTTTGGGGGAGTTGAAGAACTCCATAGTGGTTGAAAAGTGATGAGTATATTGCTTGTTTTTCTAGTGAAAATTAGGGGAAATGCTTCTAAACTCACATTTAATGGAAATTCGTGTGATTGTAGGTAAAGAGCAGGTAAGGTTGTGTATAAAGCCTCCCATTAAGTGCTCAAAGGCAATGGAGAGGAAGGGAAGGCTTAACGGATTGCTCGAGACATCAAGAAACCAAGAAAATTCTAAAATAGGAGAAAACCTACCGGTTGAAGTCAAGGAAAAGTGCACTAGAATTCTTCTACCACAACCTTGCCAAAAACCTACCAGTAGAAAATGCTTACTAAAAAAAACCTACCGGTAGGTTTTCTTGACATTCTACCAATAGGTTTTGCCCATAAATGCTAGATGCCTACCCACATGACTTGACCTACTCCAGGGGCCCACCTCTTGCCATCCAAACCATACCCTGACATCTTTGACAAACTATGATGGTCTCTTACACCCTAAAGTCAGATTTGGAAGAGAAAAGCATAGGATAGGCAAGAGAGAAAAATGGGGTGGTTGGTGAAGCATGGGAGGAACATGCTTGGCCTGTCATTGCTTGTGGAACTGTCCAATCTCTTCCCACTCATATCAATTCAATTCTCACAAGCGGAGGAGGGAGGATGGACGAATTTTGACCAAGTCTTACACCATTTTTTCAGTTTACACACAAGCTTTTAGAGAGAGAGGCTCAAGGAAGAAGATGAAGTTTTAGAAAGAGAAAGTTGGGTTTCACATTTCCTTCACCATTTTCATTGTAGTAAGCTTTAGGTTACTTGTAATCATTCCCTCTTTCACTTTAAGCTCTTTTATTTAAGTTGTAATCAAGATTAGTTAAGTGTTCTAGCATTTACATTTCTACATTTGGGTATTTTGTCTTCAATCTTTGTATTTTGGTTATGAATGCTATTTCTCTTGTAGTCTAAACCTTTTCTTGCATTAATACAAGTCTCATGCTTCATTCCAATTCCATGTCTCTTTAATTTATGTTGGCTTTTGCTTTTGTTATGAGTAGCTGGAATTTTAGTTGGCTAATCCAAGGGGAATTTTCTCTTGGGTATGTGAAATCAACTATCTTTCGTTCTACCTCATAGTGTAAAATGTTTGGTTTGACTAGGTTGAATGTGGACATGGTTGTGGGCTCTTGATACACCGTAGACTTGTCACAGGGTATGCTTTGGCTCAATACATCCACACTAGTACCTCACTTCCTACAAATCAATCAAACACCAACACATCATTGGTTGAATGACATAAGTTGATTTGGCATTCCCATTGGAATGATCCCTATGGATTAGCCTACCTTGCTTTCCTTGCATTTTTACCAAAACACAACTCATCAAAACATAAAAATCAAGATTTTCTAATTTTCATTTCTTTACAAACCACCCTTCAAAGCAATTTGACCTTCCTTTCCTGAGGAGACGATCTTGGAATACCTATTCCAATTAAAACACGATATTACAAGTCTCTCTTCGCTTGGGGATCACTTTTGCGCACACATATGTTTTGTTCATTCAAACATGATTTTCTCTATTTCTTGCATTGAACCCGAGGGAGAGTGATACTCACCACTTCGTATAATCCATATACACACAATTTGAGTTCGTTTTTGATGATTAGGAAAGACAAATACAAGAAAAAATTTGAGCTGAGAGGCTCTCAAGTTAAAGAGCTTGGGCTAGGTAACGAGGCTGAGGAGCTTGCGGCTTCTGAGCTGAAAAGCCTAGTTGAGGTCGCGCGGTTGAAAAAACTCACAGCTTTAGGGAGTTGAAGAAATCTGTCGTGACTGAAAAGCTAAGCTAAAAGGCTTTTAGGATGAAGAGCCTAGGCTGGGTCATGCGACTGAGGAGCTCGCAGCTTCTGAACTGAAAAGGTCTTAGGCTAAAAAGCTTAGTCGAGAGCTCGTGGCTGAAGAGCTCACAACTTTGGGGAGATAAAGAACTCCATAACGGCTAAAAAATTGAGCTGAGAGGCTCTCAAGCTGAAGAGCCTGGGTCAGATCACGCGGCCGAGGAGCTCGCAGCTTCCGTGCTAAAAACCTCTTAGACTAAAAATCCTAGCTGAGGTCATGTACGACTTTGGGGAGTTGAAGAACTCCATAGCAGCTAAAAAGCTGAGTTGAGAGGCTCTTAGACTAATGAGCCTGGTCTGAGAGCCTTGTGTGTGGCTAAAGAGCTGACGGCTTTGGGGAGTTGGAGGACACCTCAGGTCGTATATTGGGCAAGTTTACTTAGCTAGAATTTAAAATTTCATTAATTGGGGATTGGAAGTTTTCATTTGGCTTTCCCCCACTGCTATATCTAGCTGCTCAGGATCTTACTTGTAATACTGTTTCAAATGATCTACATTCTAGGAATGCTTCAGGTTCTTCCCCTCTTTAGTTTGCAGTTCGTAGTTGCCAGGTCAGCTCACCTTCTTCACAATGTATGGCCTTCCCAATTTGGTCCAAGTTTTTCATGTGGAAGGTCCTTCCTCGTCGAGGGCAGTTTCTTGAGGACCAGATCACCTGGTTTGAACCTTCTCTTCTTTACTTATTGATTGTAATACCTCGCAATGCTCCTCCGATAAGAGAATATTCGCTTCAGTGCTTCATCCCTTTTCTCATCCAAGAGATTGAGATTGACGACCAGGGACCTTTCATTCTACATAGGATCAAAGAGCTAGGCTCTTGCTGAAGGTAGAACAATGGTGTTAGAATAGTGGCACTTTTGCTCACACACATGTTTTGTTAGAACAGTGGTGTTAGAATAGTGGTCAGTAAGGCTGAATGGGGTTGCATTAGCTCTTGTTAGAACAGTGGTCTGGTAGGCCCACAACACTGCTAGAAGGTGATTGACCCACAGGGACTTAGAAGCTTCTAGTCGTGTCTTTAATGCAAGCTTGATGGTTTTGATGGTGACCTCTACGTGCTCGTTTGACTACAAATGCACGGATGCCGAGAATTAATTTTTGATTTCCAACTCTGCGCAGAATATTGTGAACCCTGGATTATCAAATTGCTTCCCATTATCCGAAACTATTGCTCTAGGGATGCCGAAGCGGCAGATTATCGAATTCCAAATTAAATTCTTGACTTTCTGCTTGGTTATTTTAGTCAATGCCTCTATCTCTACCTATTTGGTGAAGTAGTCCACCGCCACTATGGCAAACTTACACTGTCTGATGCCAATTGGTAGGGGCCCCAGAATGTCCAACGCCCACTTCTAAAAAGGCCAAGGGTTAATGACCAGCGTGAGCTGCTAAGGGGGACAATGATCTGGCACACTTGGCATTTCTTCACTATCTCTTTTGCATCCTTGGCCATTGTGCGCTAGAAGTACCCCTGTCGAAGTGCCTTGCTGGTCAAGGTTCATGCATTGATGTGATTCCCACAGATGCCCTCATTGAATCTCTCTCAAGATGTAATCTGTTTCCATCTCAATAACACATTTAATTAGAGGAAATGAAAAATCTCATTTGTACAACTTACCTTGCACCGTGGTGAACCTAGTGGCCTTGCTCTTTAGCTTTGCTGCCTCCATCTTATCGCGTGGGAGGAGCCCATCCTGGAGAAAGGAAATGATGGGGTTTATCCATGAGATGGTCTTGTCAAATGGCATGGCCTAACCATCGTCAAGATGGACGCTTGGCTCAAGCAGGACCTCAATGGGAGTTGTACCTGACAAGTCTTGCTGGGCTGTAGTGGCCAGCTTAGCCAATGTATCAGCTCCAGCGTTAGCTTCTTGGGGTACCTAGACAAGCTCAGCTACCACAAATCTCCTTAACTGGCTTCGCACCTTTCTCATATATAGTACCATCTTGTCGTCTTGGGCTGCGAATTCTTCTTCTACCTACCTAACCATCAATTGAGAATCACTATGGATAATGATCTATTGTGCATCCATTGATAAGGCTCAATTAAGGCCAACTGTAAGGGCCTCATACTTTGCCTCATTGTTGGAGGCTTAGAAGTTGAACCTTAGTGCATATTCTAGGTCATACCCTTCCGGTGAGATCAAAATCAGGCTAGCTTCGCTCCCTTGCGCGTTTGAGGCACCATCTACATATAATTTTTATGTTGGAATGTCGATGATTGGATACATATTTTTTGGTTGTTCTTTGGATACTGGGGTGAATTCGACTAGGAAGTCTGTGGGTACATGACCTTTGATTGTTGTTCTTGGTTTGAATTTAATGTCAAATTAACTGAGCTCCATGCCCCACTTCACCAGCCTTCTAGATGCTTCGGGTTTTTGTAAGACTTGCCTCACTGGTTGATCCATCAGAACTTCAATGGTGTGCGCCTAAAAGTAAGGTCTCAGCCTTCTTGCAGCCATGAGGAGGACAAGGATGAGATTTTTCACCTTTAGGTATCTTTCTTTAGCCCTTCTAAGAGCTTTGCTGCAAAAGTAGACCGGCTGCTGATCCCTCTCTTTATCCTTGACTAAAGCAGCACTAACTGAAAAATTAGATACAACATAATATAAGGTCAGGACCTCTTCTTCGTGGGGGCTTTCCCCCAAGAAGCCCAAGAGATGGGTTTTCACTGGTTCAAGTTTTGACTTGTCTATGCCGAGTTGATCAAAGGCCGAGAGGAAGATGATATCGGCCGAGC